AGGAGGAACTTCCTCCCCCGAAGCGCGTTTGACTCTCCCTCCCGGCCCCCGGTGGGTTTGCCTGTCCGCTGCACCCGCCCGGCGGAGGATCTCCATCGGTGCCTCCCCTCGTCCTTCCCGGAAAAACTGCGCCCCGCGATTGTTGCCAACTCGGGAATCTTTGCAACGGCAGAAACGTCTGAAGCTGTGCTTGAGCACGAAAAAAGGTCTCGTTTCACTGAAGAGAAGCTGGGAAAATGCCCAAAGTGGGAAAAGCTTGAGAAGAGCTGCTTTTTTTTTTTCTTTTTTTTTCTCTGCCACCATGGGCATGTGCTTACTATTGGCAGACACAGTGCAAGCGAGGGAGATAAGAAAAGGAATGCTGACACCCAGGCTCTCTTAACTTGCCTGAACTGCTCCAGGACACTCGAGGACGTGTCTCCATTGTTCTCAGGTGAAACCCCCCTCCAGCTCCTGACACTGCAACAAGCAGAATACAAAAAACGAGGACAAACTCGTCCCACAGTTGGCTTCTGTGCTGTCTCTCCCTACATGTGAATTTCGGTATCGCCTGTGCTCAAACATGGTGGGGAACGCTGGAATTTGGCATGGCACAGGCACTACCCCATTATACATCAGAAGACAGAAAAAGCACAAACAGCTCCTCAGCTACGGGAATTATTCATAAAGGTTGAGTTTTTCTTCCTTTCTGTACAGTGGAGGAAACAATTCCCCACTTCTAGCACGGTTACAGAATAGTCTGGCAAATGTGGTGCCTGAATTTAGCCATGTGCCGTCAGCAGCGCCCTTCACCTCTTGCGTTTTGAAATGAAATACTTTGTGCAGATAAACCAGAATGGGAAAATGAGAGGGATCTGGGGGTGGTGGTGCAGAGTGATTAGAAAGATGATAATTCCACTTTAACCTGCCTGAAAAGGTAGATAGCTAAACAAGCTGACCTGAAATCTCTTACAGCTTTGGACACGTCACGGTCACCAGCCAGAGCTGAACGTAACAGTCCCCGAGCACCTTCTCTGCCCACACGCTCTGTGCAACCCATCTCCCCAGCTCTTCATTCTAACCTTGACTTTTCAAGGATTGTTTATGGTGCATATTACCAGGACATTCAGGCACCTCTTGTGGCTTCCCACTCTAAACAACAACAGAACAAACTCTGATTTATTAATCAATTAATTAGATACAATATTATTTATGACTACCACAGGCCCACAGTAATTTGTTTTAACAAAGTGCTAGGCTGCAGTGAAAAACAAACCCATACGGTGTTATAATGAGCATCCTTTTTCCTTCTAGGCAAAGATGGTAACAGTTATTTAATGGAATGGCTAACGTTTCCGCTGAAATTTGAATTTGTAAATAGCTGGCCCATTTGTTGTCTCTTTCTTCACCCTTACTTTATGAGTTTTGTCCTGGAAAAAAGAACAAGAAAAAAAATATTTGCTGGCATTTAAGAAGAAAGAAAAAAACCCAAAAAACTAAAACCCCCTTCATATAAATAAGAAAGTCCATGTCTGGGACTGATAAGGCACTAGTGGAAAATGGTCACTTTCCACTGTTTAGGTGGGAATTATATTTCCGTCCACTCTTTACGCCTTTAGGTTGCCAGGCACAATCTGTTTTGTTCACAAGCACCAGTGAATGGCGAGTCTCATTGAGACAAATTATTTTTTTTTTGGTCTCGGATTTTTAAGATCTGCTTGTAACCTACAGAAATGGTTCTTTGGCTCTGCTACTTGATAGTAATTATTTAGTACATGAGAGATGGCAACAGTATTTTAGAAAAGATTTGTGAGCACCACTTAAAAGTTGAGTCTTTTGTCCTTGCTGACATGATAAGACTTGGACTAGCAGATATCATTTACTAGCCATGGCACAACCGGAATACTTCATCTCCTTGCTTTTTCCATACTAAAAGAGGATTACTTATTTTTAGAAGTTATCTGGAAGTGTAAGGATAAAATCAGAGTGGAGAAAAACATACATACAAAACTAGACCTAATGACCTTAACAAAAGAGATTCAAAGAACCAGAACTAAATCCCTCACCAAAAGATCTTTACGTGTCTGGATTTTCTGTGTAATAACAAACATGGCCTTTTCTCTCTCAATGCGCTGCTTCAGGAGGTCATACTGATTCTTCCTTTGCTGGGCTAATTTCTGGAGGGAAAAAAAAAAAGAAGCTGGTTTAAGAACAAGATGCTATGGTCTATAACTGACCTATTCTGAGGCACTTGGACCTCACAAACATTTTTTACATTTTAAAATCATAATCATCTTAAGGAATGCTGCTTCAATCCTGTGTCTGGATTCCAAAGAACCATTTTAACATCTTGATTCTCATACTAGAGTTTTTCTAGATAGGACTTAATTCTTTGTTCTTATCTCCTAAATCCAAACATAAAAACCAAAAACTCTTCTAGTTTAGATGCTGTGTAACCTTGTTCAGTAAGTGGAATTTCATTTTCCTAAATTCTCTGAATTTCAATGCTGAGTCCAAGAGAGCAAGTTTATCCAGAGGAGGGGGGAGGGAAAAAAAGGACAGACCAGAGACCAATTCCTGAAGTGCTTAGAAATTGCACACAGGCATCTCAAAACGCAACTTGTTTGGTCATGTTTACCTACGAAGAGCTGATGGCCTTCCCAGCACAAAAATGGTATTACTACAGGTGTGATTTAAGTAATGAAATTAAGGAGAACAGATCCCAACATGCTTAAAATATGACTCAGACATTTAGAGGAGAAAACTTGTCAGCCTACGACTCGTCCAACTGCTTTACTGACAAGCCAATCTGAGAGAGCTGGCAAGAAGAAAGGGACCACAGGGTGTTTGTTATCTGACATCTGACTGAGAAAAAAACAGGTTAAAAATTTACCAATCAGCAATTTTAGACAACTTTATTTTTACCTTGCACCTACCAACTCAAGCTTCTAGGACTGCCCAATAAATGTAAACTAATTAAGCAGTATTTACAGGGCTAAAGCCAAGTGTAGCTACTTCTAGGACAGAAGTTCTGTGGTATTAAAACATCAGAATCAAAGTTGATAGTGTAACCAATTCATCCTGAGGAATCATGAAACACTTTAAATCAGGAAAGCCAGGAAATGAGACTGCAGCTCAAATGTCTTTAAAGCGGGGAGACAAATCCTGAATCTCAAGCCACTTCAGGCTGGGAACATAACTGAAAAATGCCATAAGATCAGAAACCCAACAGCAGGCACATATATGTTGGAATAAGCTTCTTCACATCCCTATTCAGAGGTGCACAGGTTTTGGAGAGGTGTGAGGGGAGACTTAACAGTGGAGGCTGCAAAAATCACACTTAAAATTGCAGCAGTCTAATGAAAAGATAGTTCCATAGCTGCACGTCAAGTAACAGAGGAGAAATATATTAATTTTGCCAAGGAAACTGCCTAATCAGAGCTACATCATTCTGTTCTGGCCCCTATGTCGTAACTCCTGATTTGTAATCCACAGTGGACTGGGAAACAGCTGAACAAGTTCTCCATGTCGGTCCAGGAGAAGATTTGACTGTAGGCTCCAGGCACTCGATGATTAAGTGACACCCACTACAGCCTTGTGTCACCAATTTTTTGACCAATTTTGTTTCAAGACAACAGAAAATTTTGTTCTCCTCCCCAACAGTCCAGTGAATCCTCTTTAGTGCTTATTATGTAAAACATTAAGAAAACTATCCTACGAATAGCGGCAGTACCTTTAAGTGGGCAGGATCAGTGGCTCCTTTCAGAGTCTCCTTCTGCAGTGTTGCAATGGTTGGTCGGTTGTACACTCTGTCTACGAGCTCTGGAACAGTATCCAGATGAGTTGCAATATCAAACTCCTGAACTATAAATAAAAATAACTTTAGGAATAAACTCACATGGACTTCTTGGACAAATGCTGAGCAAAACTTCCAGACGTGTAGCTTAAGTACAGTCAGTGGTGGAAGCCCAGCAAGGCAGCTCCTGCAGAACTGAGGTCTTCTCTAGTAATCAAGAGAAATTTCTAGAGCACCTGGATTTTTATTCCTGGAAAAAAAACCCCACCTTCCCTTATGATAAGTATAAAGAAAGCACCAATAAAACATTACTGAACAAGTTTTCTGATAAAACATATTTAAATCCTACCTTCTTTTTTGGTATCGCAGAAGAACAGGTGCTGGTTGGGCTTCTTCCCCTCCGCATCCAGCAGATGGAGCTCAGACTTCAGCCGCTCGATTTTCTGCGGGAAAGAAAAGTTCATCTCCGTTTTGCCAAACATCCATAACAAGGTAAATAATGTCTCCCTGAAGTAAATTCCGGTTTGCTTCTCAAGCATCTGAACTGTTCCTTCCTTTTTAGTCTTTGAAAAAGTATCTAGTCTAAATTTGTGACACATCTTCATAATCTTTCTCAACAGAGGTTAATGGTAACTTCAGTATTACCCAGCCAAGTACGTACAAATACATTTTCAAAACAGTAAGTTATCTGTACAGCAGACAAAGTAGGAATGATTACCATTAAATTACTAGCAAAAGTATGAAGGAAAACTCAAAGCTGACTTTCTTTAAATTTTTATCTGCAGTGGTGATGTGTGAATCAACATCAGAGCATAAAACATTTCCAGAAGTGGGTCACGTTTCTGTTGATTGCCTGCCTACCATATTCAACAACCCACCTCAGTAGGAATAATCCTCAATTCTTTATAAAAATGAGAAACAAAAGTACATATTTAATGTCTGAAATTTACATTAGAAATTGGCACATTTTATAGTAATGGAGTTTTTATTATTCAGTATACCTCGAGGTTCTACATACAGAGCTGCACTGACATTCCTATCATTTCCAGTATTAGACAAATCAGATTTCATTAAACACAAACACAATAGCCAATAACAACAAAAAAACCCCACAATAAAAAGAACAATTCTGAGCAAACTGGAAAATACTATAAAAGTGAGGTGTTACCTTGGCTTCTGCCACTCTTTTAATTTCCACATATTTAATATCCTGTGTCCTCATCAACTTCACCTGCTCAGGGGTCACTTCATCCTTCGGCTGCTTTACTGTATGAACTCCATCCTAAAAGCAGAGGTAACATAGTGCTGACAGACAGATACCACTCCACCCATGGTGTGCTATGGGTTCTTACAACAAAAGCAAAAGAACCTTGTTGTTCTTTGCCCCTCATTTTCTTCAAAGCCTTCCATAGGCATCAAACCAAGTCTGCTAGTTTATTTACTAATTCATAAATTTGAAACAAGGTAGAAAAAAAATCATGTTACTTAGAGCAACAGAGTGTAACCCTGCTTGGGAGCGATTCAGTTTCTCACCTTGAGCCCTGCACGTATCATCTTGAAGTAGAACTCATCAGGATTCTTGTCCAGAGCTTTCTTTTGCAGTGCTCTGAGGGCATTCTGTTTCTTGTGATAGTCACTGGGGAAAAAAAGAAAAACAAAAAAACCCAACAAAACAGTTGTTGTTCAGTGGTTTCTCCTTGTTCACAGTCCCTGATAAGACCCCGAGTGATGCTCAGAGCTCTGAGACCGCCGACAGGGCTCTGCACGTAGAGCTGGACACCAACAAAGGACCTCAGCTTCACAGCTCGTTCCTTAGCAAGGCTGGAAAGGGACCGTGTCCGACAGCAGGGGATGGGGGAACCATGGGAACACCTTCACCGTCCTGCGGAGCTCACGGGGCTGCTCGGGACCCCGGCACCCTCCACAGACCAGCCCGTAAAGGTGGAAGATGATGTTTGTCACCTTGGTACCAATCACAATAACGGCGATTTGCGGGGCCTCCGCCCTCCCCGGTCCCCTGCCCTCTGACTCGGACACGGTGACACTCACT